GGGTTCTGTCCCCAGCTCTGGGAGGGGGGAAGGTGCATTTTGTCACCCCAGTGCATGTCACGCTCTGCTCTCAGGACCCCTCAGTGGCAGGGGCCGTTGGTCTGAACCAGAGTGGCAGGGAGGGGGCAGGATACCGGGGTAGATGGGCCCATAGGTCTGACCTAGCGCTTTCCGCTGGGTTTCTCTCAGTCCTTGTGGAGGTGAGTCAGGACGGGTTTCTCCTCTGCCCCTCTCAGAGTGCCCCAAAGGTGCCACGGACATCGTGCTCCTCATCGACGGCTCGGGCAGCATCAACGCCGTGGACTTTGATAAGATGAAGACGTTTCTCTCTGAGATCATGAAGCGTTTCCGTGGCACCAACACGCAGGTAACAGAGGCAGAACCCTGCCTATTGACCCTGCCCCTCGCAGGCAGGGCTGGCCCCAGGGCAGCAGTAGGGGGCGCTGTGCTGCAGGGGGCAGTGGGGGCCAGTAGGGGGCGCTGTGCTGCAGGGGGCAGTGGGGGCCAGTAGGGGGCGCTGTGCTGCAGGGAGCAGCAATGGATTTTGCATCCCAAACCGGGAAGAAATTCCCACAGAACCAGCCACCCCCGAATGTCTGCCCCAGCCCTTAACTGAGTCTGATTCCTGCTTCTCTTACTCTTCACCCCTTGAGTTGTGGTTTTTTTTCTCCCCTGCCTCCTCCGGCAGTTCGCCCTCATGCAGTACTCACACAGGATTAGAGAGCACTTCGACTTCTTCCGGTACCAGAGGAACCGTGACCCTGATCGCCTCCTCAAGTCGGTCACACAGCTCAAGGGAGCAACACACACGGCCAGCGCCATACGGGACGTGGTGTAGGTATTGCTCTCCTCCTCCTCCTCCTAACTCCACAGGGGATGGGTTGGGAGGGCACATGAGCTAAGGGGTAGTCACTCAGGACCCCTGGGTTCTATCCCTAGTTGTGGGAGGGGAGTGGGGACTCATGGTTAGAGCAGGGGCTGGGGAGAGAAGGACTTGGAGACAGCACTCCCGGTCTGTATGGTCAGCTCTGACCCTCTGTTCCTGTGTGACTTGAAGAGAGTCATGTCCCTGCCTGTGCCTCAGTTTCCCCGTCCAGACCATGGGGGCAATAACAGTGATGTCCTTTGTAAAGGACTTTGGTATTTCCAAAGTGCTAGGTGCTATTATGTATCAATAACTCTCCCATGTGTTCCCCACCCCCATTTCCAGGCGGGAGCTGTTCACTTCTTGGAAAGGTGCTCGGGAGGAGGCCACCAAGATTCTCATTGTGATCACAGATGGAGAGAAATATGGAGACCCGCGTAATTATTCAGACGTTATTCCTGAAGCGGAGAGAGCTGGGATCATTCGCTATGCCATCGGGGTGAGCCACAGCTGGGCAGAGAGCTGGTGCGGGTCTGAGGCCATGTCTGGAGACATGGGGCGGGGAGGTGGGACCCCTTCAGGTTAGGGAGACAAACCGATGATGGCTTGTCACTGGGCCAATGTGTATAGAAGAGCTGAAACTACTGTCGTGCAGATTGAGCGGCGCTTTCTAGTTTAGATGTCAGGTTGTCTGCCTGCCCTGCAGTCCACGTGTTGACTCAGATTGCGATGAAATTTGGTTTGCCTCATGGGGACACAGGTCAGGGTGAATGGTCCAAATGTAGAGACATGTGAACAAGGAGTCCCTGAGATACAAGGCCCCCAATTAAACAGCAAAGTCACCCAGTTCTTATAAAGACCCTTTGCGCAGATCAGGGGCTCAGACAGTGGGTCTGATCCTCCCTACACTGATCTGTCATTTGACACTGATCTCAGCTAGTGCCCGGCCCTCACTGACGCTCTGGGGAAGAAGTACTGAGGAGTTTATTACCGTTAGATGGGGGTATCTAGAATGGCACATGCCAAACAGCTGAGCCACAGAGCTTGGAATGAGCCCCAAGAACTAGGGCTCTTCTGAAGCAAGATGGTTTTCATGGGGCTTGAGGTGACAGCAAGTTGTCATTGTTCCAGAATTGGTCCCATTCCCTGTGGGTCCAGTGGCTAATTCCCCTCATGCTAAAACCTGACACCTTCTTTCCAGTCTGAATTGGTGTAAATTCCCCTCCCTGCCATTGGATCTTGTTAGACCTTTGGCTGCTGCTTATGTCGGGCCCAGCGACTGGGAGGTGTCTGCACTTCACTGCAGAACCGGCTGCAAACAACCCACCCAGACTAGCCCAGTGGTCCCATCCCTTCACCCCACCTTGAGGTGCCCCCAGAGACATGGCCCGCACCCACCCCTCCCTGTGCCCTGGGGACTCAGTCATGTAGGCCCCAAAACACTGACAAACCTCATGCCAAGAAGCTGCCTGTGTCCTGCTGCTGATACAATCATGACACTTCTGACCAGCTGCTCCAGAGGGCCCCCCCCATCTGGCGCTGGCTGAGCTGTGCCTCGTTAGAGCAGATGGATTCATGCCCAGGGCTCTTGGCTGTGATTTACACTGATGCCCTGGTCTCCCCTGCACGCTGCTCTATCCCATGAAGGTCGGCGATGCCTTCTCCAGCAAAGCTGCCCAACAGGAGCTCCGAGAGATCGCCTCTGCGCCCGCCGACCAGCACGTCTTCCGTGTGGACAATTTCGACGCCCTCCAGGGCATCCAGAACCAGCTGCAGGAGAAGATCTTCGCCATCGAAGGTACTGGAGTCAGGGCAGGGGCCGCACTGGCCCCGGGGGTCTAGAGATGGGTCTCCAGGCCCAGATGGGAGGAGGAGTTTCTGGGAATCCAGAGCTCAAATAGCCCAAATATTTTTTCTCCTTCCCCTACCTACTGCTCTAGCTCCATGAATACCCCAGGCTGGCTCAGGGGGCTGGGATGAGATACAGGGGCCTTCTCTCTAGGTGGCGCTGGATCCAATCCAGCCTTGAAGTGAGTAGGGCTGGCTCCGGGGAGCAGGGGATGAGACATGGACCTTTCCCCTCTATGATGGTCTCTCCCGTGTCTGTCTCTCCGTCCCAGGCACCCAGTCCCAGAGCGGCAGCTCCTTCCAGCTGGAGATGTCTCAGGAGGGATTCTGCTCCCTGCTGTCCCCGGTGAGTGATGCCCGGCCCTAGGCCCTGCCCCACGCTGCCCTACTCTGTGGCCCTGATTGCACTTTCAAGCTAAACAGGTGCTGGTTGGGCTAGTGCTTGCAGGGGATACAGTCCTTTACTAGCCCAGAGTGCTGCCGGAACAGTGCAGGGCACCCTGCCCTCCCTCTCTGGGCAGGCATTCTGGGTGCTGTTCTACAGTGATTGGTGTAGGGGCCCAGTAGGGGGCGCTCTCTTTCCTGACCATCAGCACCTACCCCAGGTTATATCTAAACTCCGCCACTTCCAGGGAATGTGTCTGCTCTTCCAAAAAATGTTTTTGGAAGAGCAGACGCACACTTTCGGAAGTCCTGTCTTCCTCATTTTATTCCAAATATGAGCTCTTCCTAAAGAGGAGGTTTTTCCAACATTTGGCCCCATGTAGACAGGCCAAATGTCGGAAAAGCCTCTTCCAAAAAAACAAGTGGAAAAAGGTACGCAAATTGCGGTTCACAGTTTGTGTATCCGTTTCCAAACCACTCCTCCTCTGCAGTGTAGATATAGCCCCGGTGTCCCAGCACAGTGCCGGGGGTGCTGTGCTGCAGGCGGTGGCCTAGTGTAGGACATTCATGCTGTGCTGTCAGTTTCCAATAATCAAACCCCTTTGTGGGGCATGTTGCTTTAGGATGGGCCTGTGCTGGGAGCGGTGGGGGCCTATGACTGGTCCGGTGGGATTTACCTGTACGGAAGCAGTGGGACGCCGAGCTTCATGAACGTATCCAGAACCACCACTGAGATGAATGACGCTTATCTCGGTAAGAACCACCCCGGAGAACGTCCCTTGCCTATTTAACCAGCTCCCGGGCTCCACCCCAGAGGTGGTTGCACATCAATTCTGAGAAAGTTCGATGCAGCTCTGGTTGCACGGCTGTTTCCCATCTCACCTCCCCACGTCCCTCTCTTCCTTTGAGGTTATTCGTCTCAGGTCATCACTGCCAATGGGCAGAACAGCTACGTGGTCGGGGCCCCTCGCTACCAGCACATCGGCAAAGTCGTCCTGTTCAGCCGAGATATCAAGGCTGGGGAATGGACATTCAGATCGGAGCTGGAGGGAGAGCAGGTATGGGGAGTGTGCCAGAAATGTGGGGTTAGGTGTGTGTGTGAGAAGGCTGGAGGAAGCCTGTAAGATACTGACCTTGTATAATATTTGTGCTGGTTTCACCTTCAGAAATAATTCAGGGATAATCTTGACTGGTTTAGAGAACTGCACCACAGCTGACATTCAGCATCTCTCCAATATTCCACTGCTGCGACCTTCACTTACAGCGTAGACAGAGCTCATGAGACAGAGGCCCAGCTCCAGCAAGGGAATTAGGTGTAGTGATGCTGTAGTGAGGCACCTGCCCTTTCCAACAATCCACCCAGCCCACATGTTGGGCCTCATCCAATAGACATGTGCAGAGGCACAAGACCTTAACAAACCAGCTAGATGGGAGGAGGGAGGGACTCGGTGCACATAACAAAAGTTATTCCGCACGTGGATGGGAAAAAATATGCACACAGATGGAAAAAATTAGCGGGAACATTGGCGTGGAGTAAAATGGGCAATTAGTTGCTTAGAGTAAGACAGCAAGGCACATGCCATGCCCTCGAGGCAGCAATATGAGGAAATTCTATGGTAAGAAAACAGGCACCAAGTCATGTTAGGCACCACAGGGGTCGGAGGCAGCCATGCAGAGGTTTTGTGGATCAGAGGGGCAGCTACGTCTGTGGTTTAGGCACATAAGTGCCCTTATGGCTCTGGCCCAGAGAGACTCGGGCAAGGAAAAAGACCTCATTGGCAATATTCACAATGTCTGAAAAGGATCACGCTGTAGTAACAATGCGAATTTCTCCAAGATCGAACTGCCTGTACATTCCAGCTGAACAGAATTTATAGCAGTGGCTTACCCAGTGAATAGACTTTACGTGTGCTAGCACATTTCAAAGGATTTGCACCACAGTGAGCATTCAGCGTCTCTCCACGTGTTCTCCGAGGTCGGTAGGTTCAAGAACACGTACAGCGATGGCGCCACCTGCTGTGCTGAGGGAGGGTGAGGCCAGAGGTGTAGCCAGGGTGTTATGCGCCCGGGAGCAAAGGAAAAATGTGCACATCTAATAGACTTTACGTGTGCTAGCACATTTCAAAGGATTTGCACCACAGTGAGCATTCAGCGTCTCTCCACGTGTTCTCCGAGGTCGGTAGGTTCAAGAACACGTACAGCGATGGCGCCACCTGCTGTGCTGAGGGAGGGTGAGGCCAGAGGTGTAGCCAGGGTGTTATGCGCCCGGGAGCAAAGGAAAAATGTGCACATCTCCCTGTCGTCCAGCCGGAGGCAGTGGATCCCCACCCCACCCCTCTCTCACTATTCCACTGGGTAAGGCTAATGAGGGAATAGATATTGGGACTGAATCCCTGTAGGGCCAGACGGGTCCCAGAGACAGAAGAAGGAGGAGGGGACTAAATTGAGGGGGTGACTTATCTGCCCCTCCAGATCGGCTCATATTTCGGGGGCACGCTGTGCGCTGTGGACCTGAACAGAGATGGGAACACAGACCTGGTTCTGATCGGAGCCCCCATGTACCACACACCTCTGAATGGAGGACAGGTCCATGTCTGTCTGATTAACTGGCCGGTAAGAAAGAGGACGGTGCAATGGGGAAGATGGAATCCTGGGTTTCTAGTTTGACTGGAGGGCCGTGGGGCCGTGGGGCTGTGATAATGAGCATGGCAGTAGCAGGAGTGGAGCTCCATGGAGCTGGATAAAAGCTCAGTAGGGGGCACTCATCCCTCCAGTCAGTGCTGGCTGCAGTGCTCCAGAGCAGCCCTAGGGGGCGCTGTGCTGCAGGGAGCAGGGAAGGATCTCTGTAGGGGGCGCTCAGTCCCTGCTGATCCTTTCTCCATGTGTCTCTTTGGATGGGCCTGCAGGGGGTGATGCTGATCTGCACCAAGACCCTGCAGGGGAAGATGGGGCAGGCGCTGGGGCGCTTCGGGGCCAGCATGTCTGAAATCGGGGACATCAGCGGGGACGGACAGACGGACGTGGCCATCGGGGCCCCCATGGAGGACGACAACCACGGGGCCTTGTACATCTTCCATGGGGAAAAGGGAGGCCTCAGTTCTCAGTACACACAGGTGAGCCTAGCTCCTGTGGGGAGGTGCAGCCCCCTAGTGTCTATGAGCCCATAGCCCCCCCCTCCACATCTCTCACCCTCTGCTGCCCTCAATGCCCATTGCACAAAGCAGCCGCCCCTTCCCCTCCCCTGACTGCTCTCTCTGCCCCACAGCG